CCCTGAGCCGGTGAGATTTGAACCGCTGACCTGCTGATCTAGCAGTAGCCTGCAGTGCTGCATTTAACCACTGCGCCACCTTGGCTCTTAGTCCACCAGCTATCATAATCAAATAACTCAAAATGTCACAGGAGAATAGTTATTCCCACCCATGTCGCTTTCACAGGTTCACCCCTAAATTCATTCCATCTTGTTATTGCAATCCATCCTTTTTTAATCCACACTTGAATTTGCATTTGGTTATTTTACTCCACTTGGGAATTGTTTTTTAATGGAAAGTGAGAGACAATGGTTATTTGTAAATACATACATTTAAAAATGTGTCTTATTCTTTCTGCTAAGATCTTGAAACATTTGGGATGTCGAAAAGGAATATAGGATGAAGATCACAAGACAGTACTTTCCCCGAAGTCTTTTAAATCTTCCATTGCCTAAAGGACAAATTAAAGCCGCAATCTTGCACCCACTTACTGCAAATAAGCTCCACTGAACGCAACAGGAAATGTTTGTGTCAGATACGCTTATAATTACACTATAATTCATACAATTTGCATTCACTTACAGCAATACATCAGTCGTACTGGATCCATTTTCCAATTTTACCTGCACAGTAAAGAAGAAAATCAGGATTATTTATATAATGTAAGTCTAGCTATACAATCCATTTTGGTTAACCCAGCCGGCACCCAGGATCTTTATTCTGGAATATCCATGCATTTCATCAGGAACAAGCAATTCCGAGCTATGACAGAGGGGCTTTGGTCACTATATCTGGCCTGCAACCACACTATGCAATGTTAACTTAAACAATGCATTTTTCAAACCAACTTCAAGGGCTCTGCAGCAAAATATTGCAGTTAAGGATTCCTGCTCAGAACTCCAGCCAATCCATCCCAGCCTTTTTCCCTTTATATAACCCCTATATTAGTATTGGTGAACCTTTTCGGCACCGAGTGCCGAAACAGAAGAGCACATGCACTTCCCAGAAACCGGAAGAGCAGCTGCCCAGTGCGCATGTGGACACCAGGAAGATGATCTTCCGGTTTCCAGAGTGTGCATGCATGCTGGCCACCTGGTCTTCCTGTTTCTGGCGCGCATGTGTGCACAAGGACCAACTGGTCAGAAACTGGAAGACTAGGTGGCCAGCACACATGTGCGCACCGGAAATCGGAAGATCATCTTCCCGGCGCACTCACGGGCACCAGGTGGCTGCTCTTCCAGTTTCCGGTGCTCCTGCGCATGTGAGGGCCAGCTAAACGGTGCGCTGGATCCCGGAAGAGCAATGGGCAATGGCTCATGTGCCTAGAGAGATGGATGCCACTTCCGGTACATATGCCATAGGTTTGCCATCAAGGCAAACTCGCACAGCATGTGCGAGTTCAAGATGGCTGCGAGGCTCCTTTCGTCCTGAGCCATCTGACGGAAAATGCCGAAAAAACCCTTGAGCAGCGACGCTAAAAATAATATGGGAAGCCGGCCCGGGAGGCTTAAGACCCAGGGGTCCCGAAAAGACCAGCCAGCGGCCAGGGGGTCCGC